TATGTAAATATTAACAACAATTTTTTATGCTTACATAATATACGCATTATGTTTTTATTACCCCGTTTCTTCTTTATTTTAACAGTACAACACAAACACAAACATAGAAACTTAACATAACTTATATTCAATATAACTAATGAAAACACATGACACGGGAAACATAAAGATACACTACTATGCTCAGCACGTACATGTCATTGTTTAGTCACGACCGCCTAGTATTCTCTGCTCCAACCACTTAAATTTGTCTTCCGGCTTATTTTTTTCTTCTTCCACTCTTTGAGTTTCTCCTTCAACTCCGCAACTTCTCGTTTGGATTGTCGTTCTCTTTTCTACTGCTTCAAACATAAACAATGAAGGTACTGTAACTTTTCTTTGTAGTATTCCTACTGACAGGGTTCATCAATCCATACCTCAAAATTGCAAACAGGTTCATCGGGAACCCTATAAAACTTGTTCATACATGCCCAGTAGCGGCGTCCAGCTTCACCATCATCTCAACAGTCTGACATCATGCAATTTTTGCCGCACTCGCACCTTGGCAGATAAAGGGGTTCAAACATTTGTTAAAGCGTAAAGAAAAACCTTGCTTTTATGAAAATATTTGCTATTGGTTATTGTTAAGAGCAAAAAATAACTAGAATGTACCCGTTATTTATAGGCAAGATAACACAAAAAATGTAGTATTGTACCACGCTATATTCTATTTTTCTGAAATGAAACAGTTTTTTCTGCAACCGGTCAGCTTCTCAGACCGACAAGACAACACACAAAGCGTAGTATTATACCGCGCTATACATAATTACTTTTTTTGAAACGAAACAGCTTTTTCGCAATCGGACAGCTTTTCAGACCGATAAGACAACACACAAAACGTAGTATTGTACCGCGATATACATATTCACTTTTTGTGAAACAAACCAGCTTTTTCGCAGGCGGTCAGCTTTTCAGACCGACAAAGACAAAACACAAAACATAGTATTGTACCGCGCTATACATATTCACTTTTTCTGAAACGAAACAACTTTTTCGCAGTCGGTCAGCTTTTCAGACCGATAAGACAACACACAAAACGTAGTATTGTACCGCACTATACATATTGACTTCTTCTTAAACGAAACAGCTTTTTCGTAGTTCGTCAGCTTTTCAGACCGACAAGACAACACACAAAATGTATTATTTAACTGCGCTATACATATTAATTTTTATGAAACGAAACAGTTTTGTCTTGATTTATCATTTTATTATCTTTTATTTTCATGTATGTTACTTTAGTTATGGTTGTTGTGCTTTTATCTCTTCGAATATTATGTTATGAAATTTCAATCTCCATATTGGTCTTCTTTACTAACACCAATAAGTTTAATGTTGGAACTATCATATCATCATCCCAATTTAAAAGGTCATGTTAAAAAATAATATGGAACAAGATTGTGGAACACAATTTTATTTGATAGATATTTCAACATAAACAAGTAAAGACACTTATTACAGAAAACATTACGAAAACAAAACACTAGGTGTATCCTTGATAGTTGGGTACATTAGACGAACTTACACCAGGAGCTTGATTTTCACCGCCACCCTGACCAACTGAGAGACATTTACGACGGTCGTGTCCTGTTTGCGAGCATATGCCACATTTACGCGCATAAACGGTATAACCAACATCCATTTGGCTCCGTATACGCATTCTCTTTTGCACTTGCAGCTTGCGCAAATAGTCCTTGTTATACAACATTTTAAATGGTTTCGGTGGCCAATAAAGCTCAGCACCCAATTGTTGCAACTGTCCACTATATGTGTTTAAGTATTCAGCAACATTGTATTGCCTATCAATGTAGTTGGTTACCCCTAAACCAACCTGTTGAAAACACTTCATGGCATGTGCGCACGACATGTGGTAGATGGTCCATTTCCCATATGAACACAACATGCTGGCTTCATTCTCGATTTGTAAATTATTCTTTCGATGTCCGCGGATAGCGGTGCGAACTTCAAAAATACCCCGATCGTGATCATATTGTAAAAATGAATGTCAATGTACTCGTCTCCTGTATTTTTCAAATCTTCTCATCGGTATTGGCATAAATTTAACACCCTTGTCCATCAATTCTGATGCAACTCTATGCCTTTCAACAAACCTCTCCGCAATCTATTTGAATGTCATCCTGACAGAAATTCATCAACATCCCTTGTGAGGGCATCCACATCCGACATACTTGGCAAATTATCAAGGTAGGGAATATTCTGCTCATGAAACGACGCGTGGGACTCGTACACTCTTGGTCTAACGGGAGGTGGAGGAGCATGCTCCCTCGTCAGCTCAGGTTCGACATTTACTTCCTCCTCATCATCACCCTCGTCAGGGAAGGGTGTGTCATCTCCAAACTCATCGCCATTGTTGTCATAATTACTATTATCTTCCTGACTTTGCGCATCTGCCAGATCACGAGTAAATACGTCGTCTACGGGCAACTGAGTGAGGTCAGGACCATCAAGTTACTCGTTTTCACTGTACAAAAAGAACAAAATGATAAGCTACTCAAAATGAAAAATACTTTACATATAGCTATATCACTTCACTTACAAGACGTACTGTGTTGACACTCCATGATGGATATTTTCTTGTTGATGATGACTCCCAGATGGACCACCATGATCCAACATGCCAGAACTACACATATTCCAACTGGGTGTGGGGTCATAACTTGTAAAATTCATATCTGAACGGTCCCCCCTGTGGAAATATGAGTGTTAATACAAATTTAACTCAACAAAAAATAAACATCATAACAGAAAGGTAAATTGAAGTTTACCAGTCGTCTTGTGGATTATGTAAAGTAGGAGAGAAATTATTTCTTCGCTCTTCATTCGACCGCGGAAATAAGTTAAGATCCGGCCAAATCTTTCAGCCAGAAACTGTTAGGCTAAAATTGCTCCAGAATAATCACCCGATGACTGGGGGTTATCCCTGCTTTGCGCAATCTCATTATTACCAACGTCTTCAGCCTTGACGTACATTTCCAATAATTTTATTACAATAAATTCCCTGTATTCATCCGGAATCCGCAAAAAATCTCTAAGAGTTTCATTATCTTCGATGTTAAACTCAGAATAATAAGTAAACCTCTGCGGAGTCACAGAATACAGAAATCTACCAATTACTTTAAGGTTCACCGAACGTTTTCTCACACTCATTTTTTTTACTTAGCAACGATACCAATTTATCGTACTCTATTGTAAGCAGCAATTTAACATGACACTGTGGATATGAACTATACCTCACAGAGTTATTCTCTATTACAACCTCACCCCCCCCCAATATAATGAAACTCTTATTTTTGGCTCTTCAGACATTATAAAAAATGCTTGATAACAAGAAGAAAAGTTTGAACGAAAGTTAGAATATTTTTAGAATGGATTTTCATAAAATCCTAACGCCTTTAAATAAGGTAATGGCTAGCCTGAGTGGGTGGATTTTTTGATATATAGTGCAGTATTACACCGCACTATACCCATTTGAATTATTGTTATGTCAGTTAACCGCAGGAGATTTATTGGTGGGCCCACAAACAGGTATAGCGCAGTATTATAACGCGCTATATATATTTGAATTACAGTTATGTCAGTTAAATGCAGGAAACTAATTGGTGAGCCCACAAACAGGTATAACGCGGTATTATACCGCGCTATATATTGCGTTATTATACCGCACTATATTTTAACGACAGAAACACTGTTAAACTATAGCGTGGTATAATATCGTGTTTTATATAGAAAAGTATTTTTTTAGGCAGTAAAAACGTATTTTGAATCCAAAATATTGGCATTTAGGTTTCGGATTCGCTAATGTTGGGGCTTACGTGACCTAGGCCACTTGAGGCAATTCAATTTTTAAATTAGTTAGGCATTTGAGAGAACCATTTAAGTATAACCAATATGAAGTAAAATTTATCACTTAAATAACAAAAGCATTATCCATTTATGTACATCCATAAGAAATTAACGTTTCTCAGCCAATATCTTAGCAAATTTTTTTACAACATTTGCAACTAATATGCAAACACAGATGGAGCACCACAATAAATGCAAGTGATGTCTCTACATTTTGCCATTTTGGTAAAGCAGTACTCAATACATAGAAACCTCCACTTAGTCCTTACTAGCAGAACAAAAAATAAAAGAAAATCAGAAATATATCCCCGTAAATGAGACGGTCATTATAGCTTTACAACAATCTTGATCTAAGACTACAATTAGGGTGTACAAACCGAACTGGAAAATCGCACCAAACCAAAAAGTCAAATCAAACCGATTAAAAAATCCGATTAGGTTTGGTTTGATTTGGTTTGGTATTGAGTAAAAAAATCAAACCAAACCGACATATAAATATATAATTTTTATATATACTTTTAAGATTTTATATAGAATTTTCTTCAAAAAATATCTATAAATATTTGAGATTCTCTTGTGGGATATAATATTTAATAGTATATGAAGTGCTCCATATTTATTAACCTTAAATAATGAGTTGTATGATCACTTTCTCATCAAATATTACTGAAATGCGTCAATCTCTTTGTTCTTCCATATTCATATCATATGTTAAAATCTATTAAATTGTTATATTTTTTCGGATGTGAAGTGATCATCATTATTTAGATCTCATATTAATTTTTATGTTTAATTACTAAATTCGATTAACCTTGAAAGTGTGCATCAACGAAACATTATTGTCAGAGAACTAAAAAAATAATTATTATGTGTTACTAAGAAAATTTTCTCATAAGAATATTTTAATAGATAATATAATTAATAATTTTTTATATTTTACTAAATATATATTTATTTATAAAAAAAATTAACAAAGTAAGATTAAAATAATATTTAAGTAACAAAAAACCCGAAAAATCCGACAAAACCGAACCAATCCGGTCCATGTACACCCCTAACTACAACTATGCATTTCCTAGGCACATTATTCACATGCCAAATAAAAGAAATGAACATGAATAAATATCATATATGAATAAATAACCTATATAACAATTTACATTGCTTAAAAATATGTTAAAACCTAAATGACAATCTACATTGCTTGATTTCTGATCATTTATCGAGAGTAAGCCCCTCAATTTTGAAATTGAGTTTTTAGGTACGTGCTAACCCTCTTCCAATGGGGAATCATTGACCCATAAAACTGCACTAGCACTGATCTTTTTAGCCCCTCACGAGAAAATTCCAAGTCTCTGGCGATATCATAATCAACATTTTCTGGAGTTTCAAGCAGAGGCAATGCAACTGATCCATGGGACTCTAAGCTCCGTACCCATCCGCGGAGCAGAAAATTCACGACCTGTACATGTAAAATCGCCTTCACATGTCTCAACTTGCACCAATAATAACTTACCCTATTCATTGTTCTCATTTGTATATCTCATGTTGTCCCAGAAAAAACTGTCACAATCAAGAATCAGTCCAGTGCCAACTTAAATATGTAAGCTATTTATCTTTGAAAGAATTACAAGCGCAGTTAAAACGACTTCATAAGCAGTCTCAGAATGTTAACCAAAGATGATGAGGAAATTTATTTACTAAGCTTTTCCTTGCATTACAAAGCAAGAACATGCATAAGCTCTTACAGTTGGCTATGATCCGTGCACCAGTCAACAAACATAAAGCATAATGTAAGATGACTGAAGGGTCTGGGACAAGGATCTTTCAGGAAGACGACAAATTTACAGATTTTGTGGGTCTACGACAAGGCTCTTTCATGAAGGCAGGAGAAATTTACAGATTTGAGTGTTTGTGACATACCTCCGGAGCTTCATCATGGGGACAATGACCGGCAGGGCTAATCTCATAATATGGAGCTTCAGGCAATTGCCGTTTCACCTGTAAACCCCAAATAGGCTTCACCCATGGATCTTCTTTCCCATACATGAGACAGACAGGCACATTCTTCATTTGACACCTACGAAAATGTAAAAACTGGAAGCTTTGCAATCTTGTTTAGTAAAATTAGTGATAAATAAGCCAAGTGCAGCAATGTGATGCGTTGCTCTACCTACCCAGATAAAGCCTCTTCAAAAGAAACTTGCCCTCGAGGAGCAAACATTATTGAGGCAAAGACTGCCGCTGCTGCAGGATGTTTTGTCGTCTCAAGTATCCGAGTGAAAACTTTATCAAACTTTGTGGTGTTATCAGCATAAACTTGTTTCAGTACCTTAGCAATAAATTCAGGACCGCTAATTTTCTCCCATCTGAAAGCATAATAAAGCAGACGCATACATTTAGGGTACAACAGAAGGCCAACTTTTGTTTTTTTTAAGACAAACCGTAAAACAATCCTGAAGACCTCAAAAGAGTAACTCACATTATGTTAACCAAATGTCCAGTGACACCATGCATTTTGTTTCATGTAAGTTACAAAACGTAATAGACATATTAATTGAATAATATTAGTTGGTTTCTGTAGGTCATAACTGAATTTAAGAAAACTAGCTAACCTGACTTAAAAAGACTCTACTTCAGGAGACAAGTTTACAGGCCTGAGGGAACTGCATAATCACATTCTTAAAAGAATCATATAACTTACACAACTTCTGTGAGCATTCTGACAGAGGTAGGAAGAGGAAAGCTCCCAGTCCAGGGAAATACGCTAGATAATCTTGGGGATTTAACAGGATTCGGAAAAAATCCCCAAAATGGTGTTGCGTTCAGCAAAGTTACACCTTTAACCAAATGAGGATAACGTGCTGCGAAGTAAATGGCAACATACCCACCAAGAGAATTCCCCACAATGTAAACTGGCTCTTTAATAACCTGCACCATAACATCTGTTCGAGTTTATGTATTCCTCATGAGCTATAATAACTGATATAAATAAAGTTAAACCAACCAAAACTAAAAGACTTTGTCAGGAAAAGATATTTTTCCAAACAATTTTATTTAGCCAAAATAAGACGAAGCCTATATAAAAGTCTATTTTCCTACTATCACAAAATAAATCAAAGCAGTAAAGAGCACCAGCAAAACAGATATGACCGCAGCAGAGTAATAGAATAGCAAGAAACTATACTCAAGGCAAATACACAAGACAATAGAATAGCAACATGAGCAAACAGACCAATAAAAAGTTTAATGGCCTGGCTGCAATCGACACATCTGCTTAGAGGTAGTTTACATTATAGCAAGCATTCAAACCAGGATACTTGAGGCACTCGAGAAATTCCTACTGATAGGCTGGGATCAACTAAAGCCTTTCTTATCTTTTCACATCCACATCAAATTATCCTGAGGTAATAGAAATTGTGTTGGTAATATTTGGTAGCTCAAGTTACTTCATAAACCGATGATGTTAGTTTTACAACCGTAAGAAAGAACCAGAAATAACTTCTTGATGCTAGGTCGTGAAGCACAGAGGATGCACCTGAACGAATAAGGAACTGCTAACCTCAGACTAAAATCATTCTCGGTTCAATCATTTTCTAACTGTAACCGCAAAAAATCAGGTCATCACCATGCCAGCAAGCGTATAACTTCATCCTGCCTTTCAGTCCAAAATCTAACAATTTTATGAAAATTCATTTCTTGCTTATCTGAATTAGTAGATAAATACAGTCAAAGAAAAGACAAACTGAGAATCTTTACTTTTCAATTACGTCAAAAAGATTATATTTTTAACCCCCCACCCC